GCCTACCTGCTGCCCTGAGGGGCCTACCTGCTGCCCTGGGGGCCTACTTGCTGCCCTGGGGGCCTACCTGTGCCCTGGGGGCCTACCTGCTGCCCTGGGGGCCTACCTGCGCCCTGGGGGCCTACCTCCTGACCACCCTTGTACTCGCCGAAGTGAAAGACTCGGGATTTGAGCTCCAGATCGGCAGCTGTCTCCTCCTCCTTGGCAATAGACATCATCAGCGTGTTGATCCACTGCTTCAGCTGCTTGACCTCCCTGTCCCTGCGTGGGAGACGCAGCCTCTTCACCTCTCTGAGCCGCCCTCCTGCCCCACTGCCCAGGGGCCAGATGTGATCCCTGGGTATAATTTAAGACCTTTAACCACCAACTAAAAAGAAAAATAAGTCTTATTGAGGTATAATTCACACACCACAAGATTCCTTTACAGTGTACGACTTGCTGGTTTTTAGTATATTCAAGAAATTACATGGCCACACTAATCTGAGAAAGTTTTCACTCCCCAGTGAGGCAGTCAGTCCCCACTTCCCCAGCCCCTACGTCTAGACTCTACGTCTCGTCTAGGACGTGTCACAGATGCACAATCACATAGTGTATGTCTGGCCCCACCCTTCAGCGTAAGGCTTTCCAGTCAGTTTGCTGTGGCTTGTCAGAACTTCGTTCCTTTTTATGACGGAATAATATTCCATTCTGTGGCTAGATTGCACTTAGTCTGCCCATTGATCCATTGATGGGTATTTGGGCTGCTTCTCCGTTTTGGCTCTTGGAAATACTGCTACTATGAACACTCACAGGTTTGGGTGAGGACATGTTTTCAATTATTTTGGGTATGCATTTAAGAAAATAAATTTTCAAAGGAATGATTGAAAAATAAACTGCAACACTGTCCATCTCTGGCTACTGCAGAGAGAGGCCCCTCTACCATGCCCATGTATCTGCAGTGGGTTAAGAAGTACTCTAGCCTCCACCAAGGGGAAGAAGCGGGCAAAAAACACTGACCCCAGGCCCTCCCTGGTGGCGCAACAGGTTAAAGCGCAGCACCACAGAGCTGGCCTCAGCAGCTTCAGTACCAGTTCGATCCCCAGTGTGGCAGCTGACCCACGTGGACAGCAGACCTCTCCTGACCCACCCGCAGCTTCCCCAGCAGTGTACTTTCATCAGAGTGCCTGTTCCTGTGCTTGCTGTTTCTCTGGTGAGTCCTCTCAGCTCCTGCACCTCTGGACTGTACCCCAGTTCTGTATGCAAAAATAAATCTTAAAAAGAAAGCATCGACCCCAATAACCTCAATGCCTACAATTCCTGCTGCAGCAAGTGTTGATAAACTGCAAGGTGGTTGCAGGCAGCAGCCACAGCAAAGGTGTGGTGGTATGAAGAGGAGATCCAGCTGGCAAAAAGCCTGCCACCTCCCCCAGCCCACCATCAACAGGGCCACCCTCAGCAGCATCCTGCACATAATGCACAAGAACAAAACTGCCCTGGCCTGCAAATGGCTGCCATGTGCAGTGCCAGCGCCATCCTGCACAGCCAGAAGCTTGTGATGGGGCATGGGAAGAGG